ACGGCAGCAACTGCTTTGCACGATCAGTTGATATTGAACGCACCACCTTGAAACGGCAACCCTTTTTGAAACGCAAAGATAACTTTTTGAAAGTCTTATTCGTGTGCGTGTTGTGTGTGTGTTGTCCCCTTGTAAAATTAATTAAAATTGTCTTAGAGCCGGGAGTTGTGTCGTTAGCTTGTGGGGTGGGGAAGGATACAACCAGCAGCCAGAGAAGTTCCTCTCGCTTGGGCGTGGCCGCAGCGAGCCCGTGCTGCTCCCTCTCTCCACTGCTCGATTGAGTTGGCACGACGCTCGCCGACGTGGTGCGCGATGATTCTGTCGTCGCTGCTGGACGTCTTGTCTGTTCTCACTGGGTGTTTGTCGGTGTGTGTATCAAACACACGGCGCATTCGATGGCGCTCTCTCTCTCTTGGTGGCAGCTCCAGGCTTCTCCAGTGCTGGATGATTGTTGAGTCGGCACGATGCTCGCCTTCGGCGGTGTGCGATGACATCGTCGTCGCTGCTGGACGTCTTGTCTGTTCTCACTGGGTGTTGGTCGGTGTGTGTGTGTGTATCAAACACACGGCGCATTCGATGGCGTTCTCTCTCTCTTGGCGGCAGCTCCAGGCTTCTCCACTGCTGGATGATTGTTGAGTCGGCACGACGCTCGGTGACGCCCGGGTCGGGCTGCTGCTGTCGCTCTCTCCTTGATCGCTGCCATCTTCACACGTACACTCGCCCTTACTTCAGGCTGTGTTGGCTCAGGCTCTGGACGACGCGGCTGTGCGCGCTCACCGGCTTGGAGCGCTCTGGCGATGAACGATGGCTCTTGTCGCTCGTCCAGAGCCTGAGCTTGGTCGACGCTTGGCGATTTCCACCCTTTCTACATGTTGATTGCTCGTTGTCACTTGTCACTCTCTCTTCTCCGTGCTTTCCTTTGTTCGTGCAGCTGCCAGCTTCACTCCGACTTAACCACACCTCAACACTTCGTTCTGCGAGAAGCGACACCTGTCATCGGTATCGGTGTTTGCTCCCTCACGACGCTCCGCCAGCCGGAGCACGGCTGAAACCAGCCTCGACCTAGGCTGAGCTCAGACTTCTGCGACTCGAACGACCCCTCCTCGTTCCATCTCTCTTCGAGGCACGACTCGCCCCAGCTCCCTTGCGAGCCCCGTCGCAACGCTGCGTCGCAAGCCGAGTTGCGAGACTGAGCACGACTCGAACCAGACTGCACTCAGACTGTCACTCTAACGACCCCTCGTCCTCCCATCTCTCCTCGAGGCACGCTCTGCCACAGCTCCCTTGCGAGCCCCGTCGCAACGCCGCGTCGCAAGCCGAGTTGCAAGACTGAGCACGACTCGAATCAGACTGCTCATTCGTGATGTGCGCTTGTGCTTAAAACTCAAAACGTGAACACCCTCTCCTCTCTTCGCGTCTCTTTCGAGAGGAACAACAAACCAAAAAACCAGACGCCCTCGGAATGTCAGCACAGACCCCCCCCTCGCGACCCTTTCTAACCCCCTAAGTATTTATTGGGCCATCTGTTTGTGCCGGACCGTTGGAGACAAAGGTGGCTGAGGAGATTTTTGCAATACATTTATGTGGTCCTGTGTGTTACATTTATTCTTGATATTTCTTATGAGTTCCCTCGGTCTTAGTATATCGTGGTTATTATTCGGTCTATGTTTAATGAATATTCGTAATGATCCTCCTTACATCATTGTTTTGAGGGCTTTGCCAAGTTTGGTTATGCGTTTGTTTCCAGGAATTGGTGTTTTATTCTGAGTTATATTTTAATGCCCTGAGGTTAAGTGTAACTAAGTTACCACTTAAGCTTTCTGGAATTCGTATTCTTTAGTTTTTGGTAAGGTCATGTAGATAGAAACATACAATACAAAATAATATATGCGGTGAATACGAGTAATATAAGGGAATATCTAATAACAAGCCCCTATTGTTTGCTGGTTAATTATTTTTGTTAAGTTTCTACTTTTCGTTAAGGAAAACGTTAAAGAAAAAGCGAGTTGCAACAGTTGTTTTTCTCTGCTCTGCACCTTATGCGTGCATCTCCAGACGTCTTGGGAGGTTAGGCCATCGACCTTTTGTCCATCTGGATGTCTCTGACCTCTCTGTGCCCGAATTCTTACCGTTTAATGGCCCTCCACGTTTCATAGATTCCTGGTGTGCTTGTGAGGAGTAGTGGGTTGTTTCATTATTTAATTAAAAAATATATATAGATATAAAAAAAAACATTTTTTTTGCCTAATTATTCTTAATATTAATAACGGAAAACAGGGCAAAGATACAACACACCCCTCCACACGAACGCACGCACACCCCCACAAAACACACACATGCACCCACGTAGGGTCTCGTGGGAGGGCCACGTGGTACCCAAGGGGCCCCTAGCGGGGGTGTCCCACGGTTTCCCAGTGCCAGGAGATTGGCCGACCCTCCCCAGGCCAAATTGCATTGCGGCCCCCGTAAATTAGCTTAAAATTGTATGGGCACGACGAAGCTCACCGAGTGAACCACAATGAGAACACTCACAGCACAGAGAGATAGGGCCTCGGGGGAAAACACCCAGTGAGCAGCGTATAAGAGGATGTGAGAGGGAATTCCTGGACCGACTGAAGCTGTGTATCCACGGGACGGCCGCCCTGATCAAACCGGTTGAGTCCAGGGTAGGGAGTATGGGTGCGTAGACAATGGATCAGGGCATAATGGAAAGCAACGCTCCAGGTGGGGGCGGGGCATCGGTTTAAAATCGAAAGGTAGGCGCCCGATTGGCTGTGCAGGATAACACCACGTGACCCCGGATTTTTGGATTCCGAGGGCATGAGAGGAGGAAGGGAAAAAACGTTGGGCAGTGCTCCTCCGGCCGTTAGGCTGCCCGGTCGGACTCCCAGCCGCTCGGAGCGTCCGAGGGACGCTGGCGAGTGCTGCTACGACTCGACCCCATACAGAGACCTCTCGTACCCTCGTTCCTCCGACTCCCACCGCGTCCGTGCAACACCATGAGTATGTCCGCGAGGTGAGAAGTAGAGTAAGGGTACACCCAGGGATTGAATAGGGATAAGCTAGGCGCTGCTCGCTGAGAATTTTGCTCTGAGCCACGCAGGGTTTTTTTTTCTTCAGGCGCACCATTAATTAACTTTAGTACAGAGAATCCGTGTGGTGTGATTTCTGTGGGTGTAGAAGAGTGTCCGCGTGGGGCGTAATTCCAGCGGGTGTGTGGGAGGTAGGCGGGCAGTAATTCATTAACGGTTCCCGCGTCTGTGCAGCGGCGCCGTGCGAATAATAGGGCGAAGGAGGGGTGAGTTAAAACCCGTTCGCGTGCGTGTTTACACAGCGCGTTTTACGCAGTGTCTTCACGTAGCGACGATAGCATTTAGCGGTGGAGCGTGCGTATATATTGCCATCAATACGGCCGTCGTTGTGCCCCGTATGCTTGCACTTGCGTGCGTGTTTGCACAGCGGATTAAGGCCGACCCACAGGAGGGGGAGGGGCGCGTGCGTGTTGTCACGCTCCAGCAGCAGCCGCCGATAAAGGCCGCCCCATAGGAGGGGGGAGGGGTGCGTGCATATTCATATGGCTATTTTTAGCACGAGCCGTGGTGAGTGAAGGTGCGCCTATGCGGGCACGCGCGTGCACGCAGCCACCTCCACATGAGTGGTGGTGTACGTGGGGAGTGTGTGGGACAATCCTGGGCGGTGGTGAGCCAGCCACTTAGCCATGTCCCTCAGAGACGGCGGGGGGGCCGATCACCCGATCGGCGGGGGCCCGGCGAGAAGTGGCCAAGGAGGAAGGGGGAGAGGAGGAGGGGGGCGTCAGCCCCCACACACACATAGATATTACATGTTAGTACTGCAGTCACTCTGTATTTTTCTGTAGCTTGGTTATGTCGTTTCTGCTGTGGTCCTCGAGCTGATTTGCGCTGCAGGGAAATTCATAATTTAGTTTCGATTTTACTGTTGACTTTTATATTTGTGCAGTCCTTTAAATCCCCCCCACGTGGTACAATTGTTTTAGTTCCAATTGTTTTACTTCATTGCTGTAAAAAATGTTCGCTTCATTTTGTGATTCGTTTTTTTTTCTGGTGACCCAGGTCATCACTCCCCTTGCAAAGTGAGACTCCTCTCCCTCTTTTCTGGGTCTCCCTCGAGGTCTCAACCCGTTACAACAACAAAATCAACTGCAACTTAAAATAAGTATAACCCGTAAAAACAAAGTTTTTCACTCTAAATCCTTTATATGCGTGGCGGCTAGAGTCCTCTCGTCCTCTGGCTTGAGATGGCTGCCACCTATGGGTCAGATGCTTGTCTGCAGTATTAAACAATTGGTAATTAAATATTTAATTTGTTTTCCCTAAACAGTGTAAAATTTTGGAAAAAAAATTTCACGAACATTAATTGTCTCGCACAACGAGTCTGTGTGCAAAATGTCAGCTCGATTGGATCACGGGAAGTGGGTTAAAAAACGACCAAAAGGTTTGCACGGTCGTAAGCAAGCAAGCAAGCACGCAAGCACGCAAGCAAGCAAGCGAACTTAATATAAAGGATTTAAAAACTCACGCGGACTGGGGCTGCCTGCCTGCTTAAGCGTGGGGTGAATTTAATTGTTGATGCTGCTCTTCCTGGAACGGTTGCGTCACGCTCCTCCAGTTAGTTACTGGCGCTGTGCGAGACAATGATGGTACGGCACTCTGTGCTCTCCGCACACTCACTGAGACACTCACTGACTCTGAGAAACTCGCTTAGCGACTCACTGAGACACTCGGTAAGACACTCACTGAGATACTCACTGAGACACTCACTGACACAATCGCTGAGACAATCAATGTGATACTCGCAGAGACACTCGATTAGAGACTCACTGAGACACTGAAACATTGAGAGCCTCTCTGAGACACTCACTGAGAAACTCACCGATATACTCACTGAGACACTGAGACACTCACCAACAGACTCAATTAGACACTCAGAAACTCACTGAGACATTCACTGAGACACTGAGACTCTCTCTGAGAGACGAGCATAGCCATGGCCACCCCAGCTGCTGTATCTGAGGAGCTCAGCTGCTCCATCTGCCTGGAGGCGTTCGTCTGCCCCTCCACGCTGAGCTGCGGACACTCGTTCTGCCTCCGGTGCCTGGAGGCCACCTGGGAGACGGCGAGCATCTTCAGCTGCCCGCAGTGCCGAGCGACCTTCCCTCTGCGACCCCAGCTGAGGAGGAACGTGGCCCTCGCCAACCTGGCGGAGCAGCTCAGAGTTGGAGACGGGATGGCCACGGCCGTCGTGTGTGACAACTGCTGTGATGGCCAGACTCCTGCAGTGAAGACCTGCCTGAGATGTGAGATGTCCTTATGTGCGACGCATTTGATGTCTCATATAGAGAATCCCAGGCTGAGTGATCACGTCCTGGTGGCTCCCACTGCGAACCTGGAGGAGCGACGGTGCCGTGAGCACAGAGATGAGCTGAAGTACTTCTGTGAACAGGATAAGATCCCGGTCTGCACAGGCTGCACCATCACTGGAGACCACTCCGGACACAGGGTCATCACGGTGGAAAAAGCGCAACAGACAAGACAGGTGAAGTGGCATGTTCTGTTGTAATCCACATTGTTACAGGAGGTTGAGAGATTTACATCAGTAGGTCGTGACCCCTCACCTCGAGAAGGTGAGCTCCTGTTGAGACCAAACGCCCCTTTACAGGGAGACCCAGGTAGAGGTGGCAGGGTGGCTCAGATATCAGAATATTGAGATGTTAAAGCTAAAATCTTGAGTTGGAATCTCGTTGGCCGCCCACGGTTTAAACCGGATTCTCAAGTTTAGTGAGTTGATAGTCTAAGCCCAGTTAACATTTGACAGCATGTTTTACATGAGAATACAAAATATTAGTTTGACTAAGTTAGAAACGTTACTATGTATCGTAGGGCGTGTGAGGAGCCGCTACACTCATCACTGGAAGATGTTTAAAACATTTTTGAATGTTAGTGATATTTTTCAATTATGTTGTCTCACAGGATATTGCATTGTACCACGGTAGCTCCCATTAGATTCTTCATCTCAATACATTACACGGATAGTGCAGTCGGGATACAATCGTGGGAAAAGTAAAAGTATAAATGGAGACGTATACAGAAATATAATGACAACAGTAGTGTGTATGTGTTTTTAACTTCTTTCATAGCCAACCGTGCCAATCAGAGATGCGGGATGATGATCTATCAGTGATCCACCAACGGCAATGGCGAGCACCGCGTATTTATTTACTTATCTACCACAACGCAGGAGGAGCTCAGAGTCAAGAAGGATGGGAGAGAAGAGAAGAGGAACACGGCTGCGTCACGGACATGGACACTCAGGGACGACTACCGGCACGTGGAGGTACAGAGAGAGATGGCAGCCGCACAAATCCCTCTTCTGGTTTGCCTAAGAATCATACTTCATTAAATCTCACACTTATCATTGACGAGCACTGCCCCACGCATCGGCGCGGGATATAACGTTGATGAATTGCAAGCAATTACAACTTGCTGGCTGCCTTCTTTCAATGTAACAAATCAACGACGTAAAACTGTTTGTCTGCCCGGACTTCTTTTTTAATCCCATTTATTTGAGCGCATAACATTTCTGAGACGTTAATCTTCAATTAAACGATTGCTTTCGTGTATTTTAACATATCAGTGAAATTTTTATTAAAACATTTGGGAAACATTACATCCGGTTTACGACGGCCCGATTTGCAACAAACGTTTATGACGTGAATAGAAGGCCACCACTGAACGACACAGAAACTTCATTTACGATGCAATTTATAACATGGCAGCAGTTTTAGTTTAGAGGGGGGGCGGAATCGATCCACGCTGGACGATGCATTGGCGACTTGCCCTGTCGATTCCTTTATTGATCACAACCACGATGCTTGCCATGGAAGCTTGCGATTCCTCCCTTCTGACCCCCAAAAAATGGACAGCACCAACTTAGACTGAGTGCAAGGGAGAGTGGACGTGAGTATTGCCTTCGAAATCAGCATTGATTGTCTATTTCAGCACGTTTTACTTAAAACAATAGAGCAAATGTTACGTGTATTTGCTCTGTATATTCGCAGACCTTTGACACAATTTCCTGGGAATGTCCTCAGCAAGAGAATTTGTTTCGATTTAATTCACGTTTCCCTCCGACGCATCGTTTGTTAGATGCAGAATGGGACGGACAGATAGACAGATTTTAATGATACCCATAGAGATGTTTTTAATTTTCCCCAGATAGACACTCAGCAACGTGTAGCTACGGACAGACGTATTTCCTATACTTCTCCTGCCTATGATAATTTCCCCTTATATTCCATTCTCATTCTCCCTGTGCTATATAGGTTCACGAGCTCGCAATGCACACGTCACCCACCTCCTCAGACATAATCGAGGTATGGTAACAATCATTACCTGTATGATACCACATTGCGTCGTTACCTAACAAGTGACTCAACAACTCGGCACTGTCTGTGTAGGAGTCTCTGCGTGGGATCAAGGTGCGGATCAGCCGAGAGTTTGAGCGCCGGAGGGAGCAGTTGAGGGAGGAGGAGAGGGAGACGCTGGAGCGCGTGGATGAGGAGGGCCGCTCTGTGCTGTCCCGCATCCAGGCGGACATCGCTCGCTACGAGAGCAGAGCACGCGGCCTGGAGCAGGAGATCAACCAGCTGCTCGCCGCCCTCGCCGTGCAGGACCCGCTCTACTTCCTGCAGGTGGCACCACCTCCATTCACTCGCCGTGGTGGCTAGGAGATGTTATCTACCTCGCCTGATATGCAGGAGGTCGTGGGTTCCATACCAACCCTGACGTCTGCTGTATATTTGGAGTTTGCGCCTCTCTCTCTATCCTCGTGGATGCGTGGATATTTTCGGGGTCCCTCGGTTTTTTCTTCCAAATATAGAATCAACATTAAGTGTTTAGAGTAATTTGCTGCTATAAATTTCCACACGATAAGCAACTTCGTTGAGTTATAATTTTTGGCAAGGTTACTTCTGAAGCATAGCTGTGTAGCCCAGTGGGCCTTACTTGCTAAGGCTTAAAAAAATGTTTTTAAGAGTTTATACTCACAGCCTTGGTTCATCAGAGGGTTTATCTAGAACCAGCAGCTGTGCACCGCCCTGTGAGACGTTGACATTGTTTGCAATTTTATTTCAGTGTTTTTAGATCTGGGAGCAAGTGGCGGTGTCCCAAAATAGATGCGCGTTTGCTTCCATGTGACATTCAGACCTGGACTTGTCCAGTACAACATCGCCATTTACCTCACCTGCTATGCAGGAGGCCGTGGGTTTGACCCTGAACCCCGACGATGCCTGCTGTTAATTTGGAGTTTTAGTCTCTATTTCTCTTTGGTACCACGTAGATTTTTTTTCCAGGTCCTCTGGTTTTTCACTCCACATTTAGAATCAACATCATGCATTCAGAGTACTTGGCTGCTATTATAAATGTCCACATAAGCCAGTTCGTTGAGCTATCACTTGTGATAGCCAGCTCGCTACTGAACAAGAGCTACATAGCCAAGTGGGCCTTACCTGGTTAAATAAAACGTTTTGTTTATTCAGAGTTCAAAAACACGAGTTGTTGAACATTAATTAACCATTTCGTTAGCTGTTAGACTGGACCTGCAAAGAGTGGTTTTGTCATTTGTTGGAGTCCGTGTCCAGTTAAACGGAGCCTGTTTTTGATTTAAAAAAATATAAGAATAGGCTCAACAGTACAAAGGCAATGCAAGTATCAAAGTATTAATAGCCCTGGTTGAACAGTGATGCCTTGCAATAGGTATCTGTTTGGTGTTTGAACATCTTAACACATATTTTAATTGCCAAAAAGGGATTTGGCCTCTTCTTAATTTTTTCATCATATCAATATTGGCAATTAGGTCCGAATGGTAACTCTGTCCTTCACAATTCTCCGTTAACAGGTGTTTGTTATTTCCCTGATGTCGCGCTCCACTGTAAGCGGCAGGTGACTGTGTGGAGGTGAGGCATCTGTTTAGGATGTCAATGTTAATGTGAAATGCGGGTTTGTGTTTTTCAGGATCCCCTGACTGAGAGTCTCAGGTAAGTACCAACCCAGACTCAAACTGGATCTCTGTCTGCCACCTGGTGGACAAATCAGTGAACGATCGTGATGTGCTTCCTAATAAACCCAATTGTATGAAATTCTAACCCATGTTGTCCGTGTGTAGAGAGACATGAACCTGAATTAGACTCTGCGTGTCCCGTGCTGTGTGAGTGGAGGGACTGCACCCTCCATAGACTCTGCGTGTCCCGTGCTGTTTGAGTGGAAGTACTGCACCCTCCATAGACTCTGCGTGCCCCTCGCTGTGTGAGTGGAGGGACGGCACCCTCCATAGACTCTGCGTGTCCCGTGCTGACTGCAGGAGCTCGGACTCGCAGGTGATCCAGGATGCGCCTCCTCCCACATTCAGTCACCAAGAGCTCACAGAGGTCATCTCGCTAGGAGGAGTGAATATGAAGCGCATGGCTCTCGTGTGTGAGTCGCTCTCTCTCTGCACTGATCTCTGTCAACATCGTTCATTACAAACACAACGATGCAGACCGGCACCGCTCGGTAGGCTGCTGCACTTTGTTTCAGACAGGTGGCGTATCCTTGGGGCGTGCATCTTTAAAAGTTTTATTTTACCAAGGTCCTCTGAGCTATTTGGATCCTTTTTAGAAGGGAATTGACCACAAATGACCGCTCAACGAAGTGGATTATCACGTGGAAATTTGTAGTAGCAGCCAAATGATCTTAACGCATGACGTTGAGTCTAAATATGGAGTGGAAAACTGGTGTGCCTCTGCTGGTTGTAGATAAACCCTCTGATAAACCAATGGTGTGAGTATAAACTATTACATAAAAAAATACTTTACCAGGTAAGACCCACTGAGCTATATAGCTCTGTCATAGTCATAATTGGCTGTGATGCTTCCATCCTACCTGCCTATGTTAGCAGGTATTTCTGACTCTATATAGTCGGAAATATATAAAGTCTGAAGCAGAGCTATATAGCTCTGCAAAAACGATAACTCAGCAAAGTGGCTTATCGTGTCGAAATGTATTGCAGCAAATTCCTCAACTTGTGATGCTGATTCTAAATTTGGAGGGAAAAACCGGAGGACCTGGAAAGAAATCTACGTGTCCACGAGGAGAGAGAGACGCAAACTCTAAATATATAGCAGACGTGAGGGTTTGGATCGAACCCACGACCTGGTGCATGCCAGGCGAGGTAGTTAACATCAGGCGGATCGAGGGTAAGCCCAGTGATAAATACAGGCATAGGGACACAGAGTGAAACACTGTACATACAGTGCCTGCAAATACAAAGATCCCCGGTGTAGCCTTAACAGACTGTTTGGGCAAGTGCTGCTAGTGAGCAGCAGCATCTGTGAAGGCCGGCACGGCACGCGAGGGGGTGGGTGGCCAGCACCACGCCCGGCCGCCTTTGTCTCCCTCACATTAGCAGAGGGCAGTGCAGCGTGAACCATTGTTGTACTGCACCTCTACGCTTCTACGTTCACGATCCCCACCATCGCCAATGCGCACCGATGAGAGCGGTGAAGTATGGTCAAATAACCCCCCCCGCAGGACGTGCACGGCGCGGGGAGGCACTCATCCAGCAGCGGAGTGACACACAATGTCTGTGCGTGGGTGTGAGAGTGTGCGAGGCTGTGACACACAATGACTGTGAGTGGGTGTGAGAGTGTGCGAGGCTGTAACACACAATGTCTGTGCGTGGGTGTGAGAGTGTGCGAGGCTGTGACACACAATGTCTGTGTGTGGATGTTAGAGTGTGCGAGGCTGTGACACACAATGACTGTGAGTGGGTGTGAGAGTGTGCGAGGCTGTAACACACAATGTCTTTGCGTGGGTGTGAGAGTGTGCGAGGCTGTGACACACAATGTCTGTGCGTGGGTGTGAGAGTGTGCGCGGCTGTGACACACAATGTCTGTGCGAGGTTGTGACACACAATGTCTGTGCGTGGGTGTGAGAGTGTGCAAGGCTGTGACACACAATGTCTGTGTGTGGATGTGAAAGTGTGCGAGGCTGTGACACACAATGTCTGTGTGTGGGTGTGAGAGTGTGCGAGGCTGACACACAATGTCTGTGTGTGGGTGTGAGAGTGTGCGAGGCTGTGACACACAATGTCTGTGCGTGGGTGTGAGAGTGTGCAAGGCTGTGACACACAATGTCTGTGTGTGGATGTTAGAGTGTGCGAGGCTGTGACACACAATGTCTGTGTGTGGATGTGAGAGTGTGCGAGGCTGTGCCACACAATGTCTGTGCGCGGATGTGAGAGTGTCCGAGGCTGTGACACACAATGTCTGTGCGTGGGTGTGAGAGTGTGCGAGGCTGTGACACACAATGTCTGTGCGTGGGTGTGAGAGTGTGCGAGGCTGTGACACACAATGTCTGTGTGTGGGTGTGAGATTGTGCGAGGCTGTGACACACAATGTATGTGCGTGGATTTGAGAGTGTGCGAGGCTGTGACACACAATGTCTGTGCGTGGGTGTGAGCGTGTGCGAGGCTGTGACACACAATGACTGTGAGTGGGTGTGAGAGTGTGCGAGGCTGTAACACACAATGTCTGTGTGTGGGTGTGAGAGTTTGCGAGGCTGTGACACACAATGTCTGTGTGTGGATGTTAGAGTGTGCGAGGCTGTGACACACAATGACTGTGCGTGGGTGTGAGAGTGTGCGAGGCTGTGACACACAATGTCTGTGTGTGAGAGTGTGCGAGGCTGTGACACATACTGTCTGTGTGTGGGTGTGAGAGTGTGCGAGGCTGTAACACACAATGTCTGTGCGTGGGTGTGAGAGTGTGCGAGGCTGTGACACACAATGTCTGTGTGTGGATGTTAGAGTGTGCGAAGCTGTGACACACAATGACTGTTAGTGGGTGTGAGAGTGTGCGAGGCTGTGACACACAATGTCTGTGCGTGGGTGTGAGAGTGTGCAAGGCTGTGACACACAATGTCTGTGTGTGGATGTGAAAGTGTGCGAGGCTGTGACACACAATGTCTGTGTGTGGGTGTGAGAGTGTGCGGGGCTGACACACAATGTCTGTGTGTGGGTGTGAGAGTGTGCAGGGCTGTGACACACAATGTCTGTGTGTGGATGTGAGAGTGTGCGAGGCTGTGACACACAATGTCTGTGTGTGGGTGTGAGATTGTGCGAGGCTGTGACACACAATGTATGTGCGTGGATTTGAGAGTGTGCGAGGCTGTGACACACTGTCTGTGCGTGGGTGTGAGCGTGTGCGAGGCTGTGACACACAATGACTGTGAGTGGGTGTGAGAGTGTGCGAGGCTGTAACACACATTGTCTGTGCGTGGATGTGAGAGTGTGCGAGGCTGTGACACACAATGTCTGTGTATGGATGTTAGAGTGTGCGAGGCTGTGACACACAATGACTGTGAGTGGGTGTGAGAGTGTGCGAGGCTGTAACACACGATGTCTGTGTGTGGGTGTGAGATTGTGCGAGGCTGTGACACACAATGTCTGTGTGTGGATGTTAGAGTGTGCGCGGCTGTGACACACAATGACTGTGAGTGGGTGTGAGAGTGTGCGAGGCTGTAACACACAATGTCTGTGCGTGGGTGTGAGAGTGTGCGAGGCTGTGACACACAATGTCTGTGTGTGGATGTTAGAGTGTGCGAGGCTGTGACACACAATGTCTGTGTGTGGATGTGAGCGTGTGCGAGGCTGTGACACACAATGTCTATGCGCGGATGTGAGTGTGTCCGAGGCTGTGACACACAATGTCTGTGCGTGGGTGTGAGAGTGTGCGAGGCTGTGACACACTGTCTGTGTGTGGATGTTAGAGTGTGCGAGGTTGTGACACACAATGACTGTGAGTGGGTGTGAGAGTGTGCGAGGCTGTAACACACAATGTCTGTGCGCGGATGTGAGAGTGTCCGAGGCTGTGACACACAATGTCTGTGCGTGGGTGTGAGAGTGTGCGAGGCTGTGACACACAATGTCTTTGCGTGGGTGTGAGAGTGTGCGAGGCTGTGACACACAATGTCTGTGTGTGGGTGTGAGATTGTTGCGAGGCTGTGACACACAATGTATGTGCGTGGATTTGAGAGTGTGCGAGGCTGTGACACACAATGTCTGTGCGTGGGTGTGAGCGTGTGCGAGGCTGTGACACACAATGACTGTGAGTGGGTGTGAGAGTGTGCGAGGCTGTAACACACAATGTCTGTGTGTGGGTGTGAGCGTTTGCGAGGCTGTGACACACAATGTCTGTGTGTGGATGCTAGAGTGTGCGAGGCTGTGACACACTGTCTGTGCGTGGATGTGAGAGTGTGCGAGGCTGTGACACATAATGTCTGTGTGTGGATGTGAGAGTTTACGAGGCTGTGACTCACAATGACTGTGAGTGGTTGTGAGTGTGCGAGGCTGTAACACACAATGTCTGTGCGTGGATGTGAGAGTGTGCGAGGCTGTGACACACAATGTCTGTGTGTGGATGTTAGAGTGTGCGAGGCTGTGACACACAATGACTGTGAGTGGGTGTGAGACTGTGCGAGGCTGTAACACACAATGTCTGTGCGTGGGTGTGAGAGTGTGCGAGGCTGTGACACACAATGTCTGTGTGTGGGTGTGAGAGTGTGCGGGGCTGACACACAATGTCTGTGCGAGGTTGTGACACACAATGTCTGTGCGTGGGTGTGAGAGTGTGCGAGGCTGTGACACACAATGTCTGTGTGTGGATGTGAGAGTGTGCGAGGCTGTGCCACACAATGTCTGTGCGCGGATGTGAGAGTGTCCGAGGCTGTGACACACAATGTCTGTGCGTGGGTGTGAGAGTGTGCGAGGCTGTGACACACAATGTCTGTGCGTGGGTGTGAGAGTGTTGCGAGGCTGTGACACACAATGTCTGTGTGTGGGTGTGAGATTGTGCGAGGCTGTGACACACAATGTTTGTGCGTGGATTTGAGAGTGTGCGAGGCTGTGACACACAATGTCTGTGCGTGGGTGTGAGCGTGTGCGAGGCTGTGACACACAATGACTGTGAGTGGGTGTGAGAGTGTGCGAGGCTGTAACACACAATGTCTGTGTGTGGGTGTGAGAGTTTGCGAGGCTGTGACACACAATGTCTGTGTGTGGGTGTGAGAGTGTGCGAGGCTGTGACACACAATGTCTGTGTGTGAGAGTGTGCGAGGCTGTGACACATACTGTCTGTGTGTGGGTGTGAGAGTGTGCGAGGCTGTAACACACAATGTCTGTGCGTGGGTGTGAGAGTGTGCGAGGCTGTGACACACAATGTCTGTGTGTGGATGTTAGAGTGTGCGAAGCTGTGACACACAATGACTGTTAGTGGGTGTGAGAGTGTGCGAGGCTGTGACACACAATGTCTGTGCGTGGGTGTGAGAGTGTGCAAGGCTGTGACACACAATGTCTGTGTGTGGATGTGAAAGTGTGCGAGGCTGTGACACACAATGTCTGTGTGTGGGTGTGAGAGTGTGCGGGGCTGACACACAAT